GTGAAAAGAAAGATGTCTAAATTTAAAAATTAGATTTTTTTCTATAAACTAAAAACATTTTCATCTTATATATGAAACGTTTTTGGGCTACAACCCACATACTGAAGTGTGCTGCTAACTCACAAATGGATATATTATATGAAATATTAGTGCTGACTGTATTTGTCAGTTAACACTTTGAAACATTCTCATTAAGCTGCAATCTGAATGTATCCTATGCTGTGACAAGAAATGTTTTGCAAGGCAAATACTTTCCATGACATTATCATTATAATTATTACTAACACAAGAAGAGTGATAAATGCATCTCCCCTGACCTGATATTTCTTTTTCAAAGATATTTTACTATTTGAAGCATATTTTTTATTTATTTTATGCATGTCATACTATAGGACATTGATTAAAAAAGATGATAATAGAAAAACTTTAAGAAATCTTTGGTTTTTGAGTTTTTTCATTTTACTTCCAGCCATATGCATTTAGTTTTTCCTTTCTTTTTCTTTTTTTTTTTTTTGGAGGGCTGCATAAGAGTACATCTATAGTGGGTAAAATTGCAAATTGAACTTAAAATATATGATGGCAAACTCCAAATGACAAAATAGGACTAAAATCACTCAAACTAATTTCATATACTGGTTTTAAAACCTTCTTAAAGATATTCGGTCCGGTTGTATGAAAACTGTATCCTCTGGACTGATGCCCAAAAACATCACACTAGAGGACATTGTCTGTCCTACATACCTACGACTTTGACTTGCTCTTGTGTGCACTAATAATCATAAGTTAATAATCAAGCATGCATGTGTGCATGTCTAGTAAAAAGGAACTCTCAGTTTCATTTTTAGTTTTTTCAACTGCACTTCAGGAAACGATCATCGTTTTAGCCTGACTGACCGACCTTCTGTTCTTAAAGTAATGATGGACTGTCGTTTCTCTTTACGTAGAATTAATTTTATGGCAAGAGTCCTGTGTACCAACCTGACTTCTACACAACACAACTGATGTTCCTAACACCATTGAGAAGGCAAGAAATTCCACAAATGAACACTGACAAGGCCCACCTATGAAGTGAAACCACTTCAGGTAACTACATCATTTTGAGTGTCAGTATAGATATTTTTCAATATCTTAGCTGCCTTAAACAGCATGCATTCTACATAGGGCTGGGTCATATGACCCAAAATTCATATCTCGATATTTTTTAGCTGGATGGCGATATACGATATATATATCTCGATTTTCTTTTTAAAAGCCATATGGTAAGAACAAAAAGAGAGTTCTTACTCAAAGCTGTGGCCCAGATGTCACACAGGCACTTTTATTAACATACAGTGTATATGTACATGAAGAAATTACTCAAAAATAAATTTTCAGCATTTATTAAATAATAATGCTCCATAAATAAAAGAAAACAATGTTGTGTTTGTGATTAACAAAAAGCTCACAATTGTGCAGTCAAAATGTAAACTAACAGATGCTGAGCATAATAACAAAGACAGACAGATTTCACAGCTGCTCTGTTCCCAATTTCTACTGCTTGACTGACAGCTTTGAGTTTGAAATCCTCTTTGTAACGACGTCTCTTAACAGGTGCCATTTATGGTCCTTATACACACACAATACGGTAATATTACGTTGAAGCACAGTACGTATCACTCCGCGAGGCTCC